AAAAAAAAAAAAAAAAAAGAAAAGAAAATGACCAGGAATCATGAAGGAAGAAAAAAATAAAGAGTGGGGGCTCTGAAAGAAAGAATCGTTGACATAAAATCTTTGCTAATAATAAAGTACTTGAGCCCTCAGTCCTTCCCCTTTGCTGATTTTTAGACATGTGTCCAATAAGTTTGAGGTCTGGCTTTTCTGTAAGCAGCAGGGAAGGATAGAAGGAAGGAGGGAAGGACATGCCTGGAGACATGTGCTGTGTGTCCTTGCCTTAGTGGAGAGTACAAAGCTCTAGACATGGGCTTAGGACCAAGGGTTGGCCCTTAGAGACTGTTTTTTCTTTTCTTTTTTTCCGACAGAGTCTTGCTCTGTCGCCCAGGCTGGAGTGCAGTGGCGCAATTTCGGCTCACTGCAACCTCTGCCTCGTGAGTTTCAGCGATTCTCCTGTCTCAGCCTCCCAAGTAGCTGGGATTACACCACGATACCCAGCTAATTTTTGTATTTTTAGTAGAGATGGAGTTTCCCCACGTTGGCCAGGCTGGTCCAGAACTTCTGACCTCAGATGATCCACCCACCTCAGCCTCCCAAAGTGCTGGGATTACAGGCATGAGCCACTATGCCCAGCTACAGACTGTTTTTTCATCTATCAGAAGAGAGGCGGTGCTGTAGTTAGGACTCGCAGTGGGTAGGCTGTGCACGTGTGCAGTCCTGTTGGTTTCAGTCCTGACAGCTGGAGACCACTGACCTCTAAAGGAAAGGAGACCGCTCTGAAAACAGGCACACGTAGAAAAAGCATTCAGGTTTAGAACTGTTAATACAGAGGAAGATCACTTTCTGCCACTTGATGACGCTGCAGGCATTGCTATACAGACCTAATTATCATACTGCTGTGTTAGAATCATTTAGTTACACAGCAGGTTCTTATTGATTACTGTGGTGTGAAGGACATCAAGAAAATGTTGAATTACCATGAGTGTGTTCTGATTTTAAAACAATGTATTCTGTTCTTAAATTTTTTTCCAGAAAAATTGAAAAAATAAAGTTTCAGTGCTTCCTAAGGTTAAGTTTTAGGGCCAGTGAGGATACACTTAAGTGAGGTATTTTATGACTCCATGATTACAAATTAATGAGGCATTTCTAATAGTATAATCTCTACCTTTATTTGGATACTATTTAAATGAGTTACCTTACCAAAAATGTCCCCAAAATTTATGTTGTAAGAAAAAAAATTATGATATTCAACCAACATTTCAAAACAGTCAAATGACTAAAGCTTCTATGTCAGTGTACAAAAGAATATCATTATAACTTTAACCAACTTTGTAGATGACAAGTTTATGTGACAAAAGTGCTCACAAATCTGTATTTCAGGTTCTCTCTTAGCTTTCATTCCCATGACATGATGGAGAGAATCACGCTGTTGAACGCACATTACTTTTGGATGCTACTACCAGTGTTCTGACACATTGTCTGGGCTGTCCTGGACTTCAGCCTTCATCATTATAGAATAGGTGGTTTTTTTTTGTTTTTTTTTTTTAAGTTTCAGTTTGTATGAATCAGGCAGAACAATTTTGATCTGTTTATTAAATGAAAAATATTTGCTGACCAGCATCATTACGAACACTAAATGGATATAGACTCTGATTTTTTAAAATTCTGTACCCTAAAAAAGTTTTGATAAGACATTGATCTTTTAAAAGGGCTCTGTGCCTCCAGAATATGTGTTAGCCACAATCTGGTCAGAAGGCTAAGAAGTGTGGCTAGGTTCTTTTTTTTTTTTTTAAACTAATGTCAGAAAGTTGAACCATTAGTTCAACTTATACTTAATTCTTATACTATTTTAACTCTTCTTTCCATCAACAGGCATACCAACGTTTACAAATCCAGCAGCAGATGTTACAGGCCCAGCGTAATGTGTCTGGATCCATGAGACAACAGGAGCAGCAAGTAGGTGTTACCCAGATTAATTTTTGTCATGAGCTGTAATTGTCCTTGATAGAAGAGACGCTGATTGATGAACTTAGATGATGGTTGATTTTTCTCTAGCCAAGCCTTCCTTTGTTGCTAGATTTGGGAGGAGGTTGGCCTGACTAGTGGTGGCCTCAGCATAAAGACAGTGAAGAATGCACTCGGTCCCTAGACAAGCATGAGTGTCCCTTCCCACCCTGGTTAACCCACCTGCATCTCTGCCTGCCAGGTTGCGCGCACAATCACTAATCTGCAGCAGCAGATCCAGCAGCACCAGCGCCAGCTGGCCCAGGCCCTGCTCGTGAAGCAGCCACCGCCGCCGCCACCCCCGCCGCACCTGTCTCTGCACCCCTCTGCAGGCAAATCGGCCATGGACAGCTTCCCCTCACACCCCCAGACTCCCGGCCTACCTGACCTGCAGACCAAAGAGCAGCAGTCTTCACCCAACACCTTTGCTCCTTACCCTCTTGGTGAGTGTCCCATGGTCTTCAACAGCTGCACCAGATGGAGAGGATGCCCGGAGTCCATGTGTGGTGGCCAGGGCTGCACTTCAGTGTTAGGAGGACTGGCCAGCACTGAAACCGCAGCCTGTTGGAAGGGCAGCCCCAGACAAAATCAGAGAACAGGCATCTCAAGGCTTTTTAATTTAAAAAAAGTTTTTTTAATTTTTTGGAGAGATGTTGGCGGGGAGGTCTCGCCATGTTGCCCAGACTGGTCTCAAACTCCTGGGCTCAAGCAGTCCTCCGACCTCGCTCTCTTAAAGTGCTGGGTTTACAGATGTGAGCCACCATGCCCAGCCTCAAGGATTTTTAATAAGGGAACAATACTAAGTACGTTCTATAGAGCAAAACTTTTGCTGCTGCCATAATACTCTCAGTATAAAATCTGTAAAGGTAGTACCAGTGAGAGCCCCAAAAATCTCATTTCCGTTGTCAAATCTGCAAAGTTTGCTCCATTCCTGGTTTACTCTGAACTGTACTTTGCCAGCCACTGTCTTCCAGCCTGAGCTGCAGAGAAGTTTGGTCATGGTTTGGTCAATAGAAGTATTCAGATTTACATTAAAAACACTTCTTAAAAAGCAGTGGTTGTTGATACAACTCAGTTTTGTATGGAATGTGATTTGTATAATCGACCAAATCAGCATATATACGTTGAAATCTAACTTGTAGAAGCACACTCATTTACATGAAACCTGCAGGTGAGTAAGACATGGTGCCCAGCCTCAGGGTCAGGCCAGCCAGGAGAGACACAGCTCACCTTTCGAGACCAGCCTAGACAGTGAAACCTCGTCTCTACTAAAAATACAAAAATTGGCCCGGTGTGGTGGCACGTGCCTGTGATGAATACACCAGAGGCTGTAAATTAGTAAATTGATTCTGCATGGACTCATTTGCTGTAAGAATTCAGATGTTAGTGAAAGCACTTTAGGCTTGTCTGTTGATTGCTATTGGAATCCATAGATACAGGACAAAGGGAATCAGTAACTTGGAAAATACATCTCTAAAGGGGCAAAGGCCAGTTAAGTGATAGTGAATTTGCTACCAGCAGGTAATATTCATGTATTTGATACTATTCAATGTCTCTGAAAAGAGCAGTAGATTCTAATCATATGAATACTTTTTACTTGACATATTATAAATGTGGTATATCTTTAATATGAGATTGATAAATACTAGATTTGATTATCTCGTTCCTTAATTCCTATCTCATCCATTAGCACCCTTTGTGTCTAAGTAGGTAAAATCTGACTTAGGAATTAGACTGCCTAGGTTTGAATACCAACTCTCCACCAATAGGCTCACTACTAACTTTAGCAACTTGCCTAAATGCTGTTTGCCTTGATTTCTTTCTTTTTCTTTTTC